TCCAATGGAATGCCCACTGCTGCAGAATTATAGAAGGAATTACATGAATCCTTCACAGAAGCCTAAGGAATATGTGATGCACTTGAAGCTTGCACTTTATAGATGCAATTATGAGAAGATAACAATCATCAAATATTACAACATAATTAAAGGGCTTTGTGATCAACATGTCATGATCCAACAGCCTGTCAGTGATAAAGCATGCTATGTCCTTTAGTCAAAGGCATGAATACAAAATGTTTGCTTCCTCAGTTACAGTCAAGCCCCTATATCCCAAATTTTTAGAATTGTGCCTGTTGCTACTACATGAGTCCCTCTTCCATGGCCATACTACATTGAAGTACACTCAGAATCACAATCCGATGTAGTGATCACGGCTAGAAACCAATATATAATGGTGGAAGAGGACGACATGAACAGGCTCATGGCACTAGAGGTCGTAGAAGAGCAGGAAGATTCCCTCCATTTCCACCAAAGGCCATGGCCTTCTTCATGCGCCCAATTACTACCCACAATGCAAATCAAAAGTATGGGGTGGCATGTTAAATCTGTGGTCATCGAAATCATAATGCGGTGGATTATTACTATTGCCACAATCGGAACGGATAAAGTTCAAATAACGACCACGCACGGCAATGGGGCAGCTAAACATATTGCAGGTGACTCTCGTAAATTTCTCTCTTACCCCTTATCCTGGTAGTGGATATGTCATAACCCAAGATGGGTGCTCACTCCCTATTACACATGTAAGAAGTGTTCTGGTAAACTATTCCACATGCCCCATTCTTTTTAATAATGTGTTTCTAGTCCCTAAAATTCAGGGAAACATCATTTTTGTCTCTCAATTGACTCAAGAAGAACGTAAGTCAAACTTTGTTTTCACACCATCGTCTATTTTCTTAAAGGATCCCTTGTCGGAGACAAAATTTGATGAACCGATTTGATGAAGACGCCTATATATCTTAAACGATGAATAAAGGAAGCTCCCATTCGTAGTCACTTCATTTCAAATAAATGGTGATGTCATGTTATGCATCACCATCTAGGTCCTTGTGGCCATGGCTCGGCTAATGGGTTATGTAAAGAGGGTTTAATCACATCGTTGCTTACGAGTCAGAATTTGTCATTTCGTCGTGCTTGTCAATTGGTAAACATTTCTAAATTTCCTTTTCCAGTTCTTTCTAATACAAGAGGTCCCTTGCCTCTTGAATTAATTCATTCGGAGTGTGGGGACCTGTACCAGTTGCTTCTTCTCATACCATATTATTATGTGAGCTTTGTGTATGATTTTACAATGTGTACATTGATTTATGTCCTCAAGAAAAAAAAACCCAAGTATTCAAAATATTTAACAACCATTGTTCAAAAAAGCAGACAGCCCGACGCCTAGGAGGTCCAATAGGTTTGGGCGTATTGCCCAAGCCTAAGCTGCCAAACTGGGCAGCAGTCCCTAGGCGGTATGGAACCCGCCTAGGTAGGAGCCCAGCGCCCAGCCCTGGGCGGCCACCCAGGGTCTACGCCCCGCCTAAGGGCGGAAATTTCTTTTTTTTTTGTTGTATTGATTTTTTATGAAACATAAAGGGTTTTAAGGATGGGTTTTAGGTTCATTTGAAACCCAAACCCACAAAAACCCATTTTAGAGAGAAAGAAACTTCAAGAAAACTAAATTTTGTGACTTTCATTGGATAGAAGTGTTTCTCAAAGTTACGGAAAACGGATCCAAACATCACCTAAGTAGATTTGATTTAGTTTTGGAGTTTTATAATCCTATATTGCCAATGCAGTTGACCCTAATTTTTCTGATGATGAATGATGAATGTTGAATAATTATTAAACTTTGAACTTTGATTGAACTATTGTCTATTGAAGATTCTTTTGAGTCTTCAAGTATTACTTTCATTTTTGTTTTCTTCCTCTTTGTAGTGTAATACTGTAACTGTAATGTGATTTGTGGATAGTGGATTTGTAGTTCCACTGGTTTGGTAATATTTGATAACTTCGGTTTGGTAATTTGGTTGGTTAGTAAATTTTAAGTTTTAATTGGATATGGATAATGGACCGACTTATGGCTATGCTTATGGACTGTGTGCTAATTTGTAGTATACTTTGAATTCTGATGTGCCCTAAATACCTAATTCTTATATTTTATACAATTTATAACTGTAGAATCCTTTCTGGATTCAACTGGGCTGCCCAAGTTCTGAGCGCCCGCCTAGGACACGGCCAGCCCTTTTTGAAGCACTGTTAACAACTTAAAAAAAGTGCTGAGAATCACTCTCGTAAACCACTATTGTTCATTCATAGGGATGAGGGAGCCAAGTTCTCATCTCATGTCGTTAAGAACTATTAAAAGATTAAAGCGATAGAGCAACAAATTTCATATCCATATACTCCACAACAAAACAGAATTGCAGAATAAAAGCACCGCCATATTGGTGAGATTGCCATTTCCTTGATGTTCACTAGTGAGATCCCAAAAATACTTATGGACTGCAGCTTTTCACACAGTTTAGTTGTGTCACAAATCAATTGCCCATTATCGTTTTGAATGGCAGAACCCCTTATAAAAGAAATTTTATCGTAAGCATGCAAATTATTCATTTCTTCAACCTTTTGGATGTCATGCTTATGCTCATATAGACATTGTCATCAGCAAGGGCATAGTTATAAATGCAGAAGTGTGCATTTTTGTGAGACATGAAGACAGTTATGAATGCTATCATTGGTACAGCATTAGACTTGCAAGCTTTCTTATCTTAAGAAATGTCACCTTTGATGAAATGAGGATATGCAATCCACCTAGAACCATTTTTCTACAAGATGAAATGCGATCAGCAAGGGCATAGTCAAGATACTCAGCAAGAGTGTATAATACAAACTGAAGAAGTTGTTTTACTGGGACGCACGCCCAATGAAACCCGTCAACCAAGCATTATCGATGAGGATGTAACTCATCACCCTGGCAAAGATTTTGTATATATCTTTATGATGAGGAACCTCCATACGAACCACAACCTGATGTTTCTCCAAGGAGCATATTGTTTCCTGTAGAAGAAATCAAGGAAAGCAGGATGGTGCTACACATATACCAGAAGGGTAACATGGTAATAGGGATGATGAATTGGAGATACAAGAAGATAATACCAGGGATATTGCAGTAAGTCAAAATATTCAAAGATCTACCCATCTGGTTCACCCTAAAGATCGACGGATAAGCTATGCGAAGCTTTACAAATGACTATCAAGTATATATCTGTGAAACCCTTAAACAAAGAGAACCTCTCAAATACTATATCGCGAAAAGATCCAAAATGGGTTGAAGTAATGGCTGAAGAAATGCAGGCAATGTTTCTGAATAACACATGGGAAATTGTGAAGAGACCAATTAGAAAGAATGTTTTGGGTACAAATGTGTGTACAAAATAAAATACAAGTCAAATGGAAGTACCGAGCGATTTAGCCCAATTAGTGGCAAAAGGATTCAATCAACAGCATAGATTGAACTACGAGGAAACTTTTAGCCAAATTGTTAAAATTGTAACTATTCGGGTAGCCTTATCCTTAGCCTGAACATAGGATTGCCATCTCTTTTGGACAACCTAGAGCCGCAAGTAATGGTCCGTGCAGGTAAAGAATGACAAGTTGAAGAAATCTATGTATGTGGTGCCCAATTAATCTACATAAGCACATACTGCGAACTTTTTTTCTTGTAAATTAATTGCCTTCTCACTTATTAAAGTCCAATTCACAAAACTATATGAAAAGGTTCTGTAACTAAGTAACTTATTACCAAAAGACAAGAATAGTATAACTTCTCAGATACCTAGAGCAAGCTCAAAGTTTGTCACTTTCAAGTGTAATATTGCCAGAGTGTAACCCTTCATTTTTCATAATAACAATTCATCCAGAATCTAACCATCCACTGATTTTCCACAGACTGCATTTGCACTTTATTGTGATAAGTAACTATTTCGCTATCATAGTCGCCGATGTTCGGGAATCTCTCTACGACCTTTGCTGCCTTACACTGCTGCTGCCAGAAAGCAACGTCACACCCCCAACATTGTCATATCATCAAACTCCCACAATCAATGCCCCCTCCCCCTTTTTTTTCTTCTCTCCAACCACCGGAACAAAGCAAATCCAGCAAAACCAGCCTCCTAATCTACTCTGAAGTCAGAAATCAAGTGGCGAAAGCATGGTGGAGAAACCGGTGACGATGTGGTGGAACCACCGGCAGCAGTATAGTGGAAGTAACAATCGTGGAATGTGGTGGAAGGAAGAGTAAAGCCCCAACAAAATTGTAAAGGCACTAAACAATTTCATTGAATTCTAAAGAAAGATCTTACCCTTTACCATCCTAAAGTATTTCTCCAATCTCATATTCTTATAGTTGATATTATTTGGTCATCCAGATGTTTCTTTTCATCTATCAGAGGATAACCTTATGCTGCCAAAACATATACCCTGAAACTCCTTTTGTATCCCAACCAGACATTGTAGCAAAATTAATGTTTTATAGCCGCCACCCAAACATAGCATTACTTTGTTTGGGGTTACTTCCTTGAGCCTAGCAATTAAATGGTATCAGGAGATGCCCAAAAAATAGAGGGAAAGGTATAATATAATCCTAAGGGCTATGGAAAAACCAGGTTCTTCCAGGTCAGCATCAACCATTATATGATAAAGATGCAAAGACAATTAAAATCCACCAGAACAAGACACAAACCCAATGGTGAGTCCCACTCCTCTCCATCACCATCCATCATTTCAGCTGATAACGATGAACGCAAGGAAGGCTTTCTCCATAGTCCTTAGGATTATATTTTTCACATATTAAAACTAAATAACAACCTTCTTTTGATATATAAAGACCAATAATTTCAAGAGCTTATCACATTTCAACAGAATTTAAAAAACATGGCCCGTTGACAGATTTCCTAAAATATGGCACAACAATAAGACAATAAGAATTCCTCAGCTGCTATGTTGGAGCGTACTCTGAGTTTCTTTGGGGAGTTGGATTGAAGAGAATATTAGCAGTTCAATGCTATCCACAACAAACTTCAAGGCTATGTCATGTTGCATCAAATCTTCCAGCAGCTCATGAAACAGCACCAAACTTCTGAAAACAATAAAATGAAAAATTCAATATGCCTTATAACCTCATTCCCTAAATCTGATGCCTCAACATTAGCACGTAAATATGTAAAGGGAAAATACATCATGCAACAAAGAGAACTTCACTTCTATAACTGATGAAAGATAATGAAAATCCAATCACAATAATAGTTCATCTCAACCATTGGTTGGTGTAGTATACTTTTGCCAAAGGAAGAAAATTAAAAAAACTTAAACATTAGTATAGAAAATAATTGGAAGAAATAGAAAGCCTAAACATGCCTTAGACATTACTATATCCTTTAAGAAATTAGCAGGAACTTAAAAGATATGACTCCATAAATGCAACACAACACCTTTCATCCATCTCTGGAAAGAAATAAAGACCAATGTCCTCATCATTAGGAGGTAAAGTCTGAAATCGTTGAGGCCACACTTCACATCTTGGTAACTTTTGCATATGAAGCGTAGCAGGTAGCTTCCTTGCCCCTTCATGAACTCTTGAAATGGCTTTGTTCGATGGGTGCGCTACAAACATGCCATAGATTTTGTTCCCAGTTTCAAATTCACCTCTAGCAACAACATAAGTCATCCTCATAAGTAGACAAAGTCTTCTTACAAACTAGTTACTAAAAAAATATGCACGAAATATGTGGTCATCATACAGGAATAGAAACGTAATGCTTGATAAACTATCACATTGGCAGATGGATTCATCATCTCAAATGCATGTAGGTACTTTACTAATTCAAAATGTACTTTACTAATTCAAGATAATGGCTAATCAATAAGCTGACAAACTGCACCTCCATATGGAATCAATTATTGGTTGTGCAGGTACATATGTCGCTTGATGAAATGAACCATGCGAGTGAATTATCTCCGATGGAACATCAGAAGCATCTTGCAACATATGCACTGGAACTGCAACATCCAATGCCAAGGCCATATCTGTGGTAGAGTTATCTTTGCATGTAGCCCTTTCATTCCCAGTGTCATTTGGGGCTTTCTCTTCCTCCAAGTCATCAGCTCCATATGAAATACTAAGCTTTCTTTTGCACTTTTTTCTAGACCGCTTTCCCTTAACATTGGATGCCCCATTCTTCTTTCCTGAAGCGATGCATTTGGTAGCACAATGGGTACTCAATGTTTTTGGAAACATGGAGGAGGTAACTTGAGAGTCCTTAAACTTGCATCCATCGCATGCCCAGACGAACCCAGAATCACCTCCCAATAGTTCCTTAAAACAATAGCTAAATGACAATCAATAAAGAAATGTAAGGCTTCAACATATACTCAAGTGTCCCATCACACAAAAATAAGTATAATATGAATGCATGGACACCACGAAAGAAACTCAGAAAATCCAACACTATGATCAAGGAACAGAGTCAAACATGTGTTGATAACTCATAGGCAAAGGAATGCTCATGGATAGGAAACATACCGATGTCGCGCAACCCGATTACACTCATTGCAGAGGATAAAACAATTACTGTAGCCTCTAACACCACAAATCTCACAAATGTTCACCTAAATGTCAAATTGGAACTTTCAGTCAAGCATTAACAATTCCCTTGATGCAAATACTTGAAATTTAACAGTTATTAAGGTAATTATAAGTAAATTACGAAAAGCTAAATTTCCCAAGGGTTAAGTTCGCAATAAAAGAAATTATCAAAAAGCAAATGAGGGCACAGCTCACATGGACTATAAGGAACTCGATAAAAAGTAGTGTTTTAAAATGCGGATCGGATCACCTTGTTTGAACCTAAACCAATGGGGCATGTGCCTGAGGCAAAAAACCCATGGACCCACCCTCTTCCAAAGGTTTTATTTTGTTTTATTATTCTTTCAGTTTCTATACAATTTTCCCCTCATGAACCAGATCGGAACCTGCCGGTTCACGGATCTAGATTGGTTCCACCAAGAATGGTTTGGCCCACTAGTCAGGTTTTCCAAATACTACTTCAACAAAAAATCACACAACCTTCTAACTGATATGCCAAAACCTAACATTTAACGAGGGAAGCTCCACATAATGAGTATTGACCGAAAGACGATTTGCATTTTTATTTTCTTTTTGAATCTGTTAACATTGTATTGGATTAGAAAGGGGAATACAGAGTACAAAAAATTGGCAATCCACACGCAGATGCCCTATATACAACAGCCCCCGTAGGGTAAAAACTGTGAAAACTAAACAAAGGCCATTCTTACAAAATTACAATGTTAAAATATAAGGGGCCATAAAAAATGAGCCATCAAAAAATCTGCACGTAATCCAAGCAAGCGGCATCCTTAGCTAGGGTGTTAGCTTCATGGTTTGACTCCCTCGAATATTCTTCCATGAGATGTGTGTATCCCTGTAAAGGTGTTCGATTTCATCAAAAATGAGAGCTAGAGTTCCACAGGATAGGAGAGATTTTAGACACCCAACCAATAATATTCTTAGAGTCACCCTCAACATCGATTAGGGAAATCCTAGAAGGGTGGAGAAGCCTAACTCCTTCAAGCAGAGCAAGAGCTTCAGCAGTATTGGAGTCAGTATGGCCGATATTCTTGAAAATCGAAGCCAAAATGACTCCATTATGGTCTATGATAATTGAACCAATTCCCGATGAGGCAAGGTTACCTAAAGAGCAGCCATCAAAATTAAGCTTTAAGTGTCCCAAGAAGAGAGGGCTCCAAGCAGGAGCCCGAGGAATGCGATTAGGGCACGAAAGAAGAAGGGCCTCCCAATTTTAGTAGAAGGCAGAGAGTGCGACTCCTATGAAACTCTTATGGTTAGTAGCCCATAAAACTATCAAAGATTTAATTTTGGAGAATAGGGCTTCCCCTGAAAAATTCGATTATTACGTTCAATCCACAAGGCCGAAACTGTTGCTGCTACCGAAGATTTCCATAGGGAGATGCCCGCTTTACGCCATGGAAAAGGTTGAAAGGAGTTTAAGAGCTGAGGTACATTGGCGGGCAGGACCCACTGGTAGTGGAAAAGGCTTAGGACTTTGCCCCAAATCATATAGGCGAACATGCAATGAATAAAAAGATGGGCATTGCTCTCTTCCGCAGCCACACATAGAACACAACAATTTGGAAGGGCAATGCCTCTCCTCTGGAGGTGGTCCACAGTAAGGACCCTCTAGGAGAGGATCAAGCCACATGAAAACCTGGAGGGGGGGCGAAAGATGCCTAGGCTTGAGCTACAGGGGATGTAGGGGAGAGGGGAAAAGTGGGTGGCCGAATGAGTTTGTGATAAAATGAAGAGACCGAGAATAAACCCGAGGGAGAGGGGGTCCATATAATATGATCCTCACCATGAGACAGCCAAGAAACAATGCTTAGCTCTGAGAAGATGGAAATTTTTGAATCTATGAGATCTTCTAAAGACCAAGTCCCCGTTTCAACGAGCCGGCTAAGGTCATCTCGTCAGCCACTGAAGCCTGTTGGAATCGATCAAGCGAAAAGAGTTGAGGGAATTGGACCTTAAGGGGTACTTGGTCAAACCAGATGCCAGAGACGGGACCCTATTCCCAGTTCTAGGGTGAAAACGAATGAGGCTTTTGAACGAGGCTAGAGAGGAGGAGATAGATCTCCAAACTGCTGAAGCTCTACTATTCACCCTAATCTCCGAAACCCAATAATAGGATATTAGGCCATATTTGTGTTTCATGATGTCGATTCAAAGGTGGTCTGACTAGGTACCCAATAGCCACCACCATTTCCCATGTAGCACCGAGTTGTGCTGTCTCAAATTACGAATACTAAGACCTCCGAACCTCAAGCAAAACTTGCAAGGACGGATGCTCAAGCCAGTTTTACAAAAAGATTTAAAAAAAAAGATACGATGACATGTTATAAAAGGAAAGGAATAAGGAGGGGAAGATAGATCAATAAGAGAGAGTATATATATATAATACACACATGCATACATGCACACACACACATACAAATAGAAACTGACTGGCTTATAACAAAAACTATTAATTTTACTAAAAGACACCACAGAAGAGATGAGAGAGAATGACGTAGGAAATGAGAGGCATGTAAGACATAATCACCGTAGAAAAGTAAAACAGTGGAGGGCGAAAATTAGGGCGACAGAGAGTGCCATATGATAACATTTTTAATTGAGAATATACACCTCCCATCTTAAGATTTCTCCCACATTGCCTATTTTTTCTCTCTGTTGTACCCCTCAAAATCCCAAAATCTGCATTGCATATCCTTTTCAACTTGTTTTCCCTCTTCATGTATCATATTCATTAGGTAAACATCATTACAGCATTATGTAGAAAAACTAGCTCACAGACAACACCTGGCCATAATCTGTGCCCAGTCTAAAATAATTTGGTACAAGACAATTTGTGTAATTGACAACTTGGTATAAAGTTCATATCAACCAAAAACAAAATTCCATTGCATACTCTCCAATTTCTAACTCCCTTCAACCATGCATTCTGTTTCAGTAGTAGACAAGGCAACCACAGTTTGAAGCATTGACCTCCAACTAGTTGAATTCCTGCAAGTGTAACACATCACCTATAGTAGATCTTCCACAATCCAAATCACCTGCAATGTCAGCATCAACATAACCACAATGTCAGCATCAACATAACCAATGACCTTGTCATCAATTTACAGCTTTTGTCAAACACCAAACCCACATTTGATGCACCCCTTAGGTAATGCAACCATTTTACCGCATGTTAATGCTCCTTTCCTGGATTAGACATGTACTTCTTAACAACACCAAAAACATGAGAAATATATGGACGAATGCAAACAATTGCATACATAAGGCTTCCACCAGCACTCGCATAAGGAACACGCGAAATGTACTCCTTTTCAGTATCTGTACTCAGAGAAAATGCTGTCGACAACCTGAAATGTGCAGCAAGAGTACCACAAGATTTGAATTTTCCATCTCTATTATGGTGAGGACTTGATCTCGACTCACAAATCAAACCTCCAAATTGGATGAAGTCAAAACCAAAAGGAAACAATCACTAGAACCCGAATTTTCCTTAAAATTAAATCTCCAAGCTCAGTGACGTAGCTTTGATATTATGCATGTACAAAGCAGTATGAACTAAATTGAAATGTCATTCAGCATAGATTTGATAGGGATCACTTTGTAAACAAAAGATAGAAACAGCCTTCATGTGAGGTAGCTCCCTATCACACCTTTCAACGGTTAGATTGCAAATACTCTTATTGGGTTACCTATTCCTAATGCAATTCAAAATAGGACAACAGGAACGGTTCTAATTTACAATCCAATTTGAACACAGGTGAATCAAGGATTTGAGCTAAAATCCATTGCCACAAATTCACAAAAGAGCAGCCACTGCAATGAGATATTTACACCATCTAATCATCATTCTCAAGCTTTCAATTTGATGAGGGTGAAATTAGTTGGATGTCAGAGTAACAATATATTGAAGCATTATATAATAATATTATAAAAGCTAAAACGAACCAACTAGTCCAACCAATAGGATCCAGACCTAGAAGCCACACCAATCTGACTAGGTCACAAACTTGTGAGGCCACTAAACAAGTATTGAATCACATGGTACCCATTATGATACGTAGGCCGGCTAATTAACCCAATCTGGCCCGTAGTTACTGGGACCTCCCACCTATGTGGCGATCCAACTCTAGAATCTTGCTCTCGCACTCTAGGAAAGGGATCTTAATTTTCAAATTTTCGGATAATTTTCCCCATTATTAGAGATCTCAATCCCCACAATTAGGGATCTTGATCCTTAAAGTGTAGTTTAATTGTTCACTAGCCATAAACAAAGAGATCCATACTTTAACAAGTATATATGGTCCTCGGCTGTTTATACCCTTCAAGTTTGGGAGTAAGGTCCCTAAAAAACTGGGATCAAGATTGCAAAAGGTCATAATCGAGATCCCTAAAAGGACGGCATCAAGATCACAAGTATTTGGGGATCTTGAACCCTAAAATATGCATTGTACTGATGGAGCCCCCAACCATAAGGATCTTGATACCAGAGAATAGAGAAAAGAGGCAAAAAATAGTTCAATAAACCATCAAAACACACCAGATTTGGAGGGACCTGGCTTTCCTCACACAAAAAGGTGAACCCAAAACCGTAGATAGGCTTGCTGGCACTATTCACAATCTATTCTTACTATTCACACCCCATAAGTGTTAGAAACCCTAACACCCCATGTCCATGTACTACACTAATAAAAAAGACCAAAGTTGCCCCCACTTTAAGTAAAATTTTATAAAAATGTCCCATAAGTCCCTTAGAATAAAATTTGTAATGACACTTGTACCCCTGATAAAACAAGTTAAGTCCATAAGTATTCTAACCACTTTTCTAAACATCTCCTAAAATCCTAAAAAATATAAAAAATTCTAGACTCCCTAAAAAGAACTTAAAAATAAAACCTAAGACTAAAACAAAAAGATTAAATCCTTTGATATTAAATAAATTAAAAAATAAGAATAGTTTTTCCCTCCATCAAATCTCCTAGCCTTTCACAATGTTAATTTATTTTTTGTTTCAAAGCTTGCTTTATTTCCTTTTCTCTTTGATGGACCACTTAAATTGTTGTGGTCCTCATCGACCACCATCGCCCTTTCTTTTGTTCACCGCAGTTTCTTTTCTTTCACTGGTTTCTTTTCACCATGGTGAATGACCGCAGTGAACACTTCACCGCCGTTGAGAAATGGTCTAGCAACCTCTCTTCCTAGTCTAGTGGGCCATGCCCTCTTCATATATATTATTGTTTTATTGATGATTTTGTCCCATGTGTTATATTTGTTTTTCAATATGTTAGTGAGAAGGTAATGAGAATGGGTTGAAGCCCACATCCTTTTGATGTGGCTTCTTACCCTTTAATTATTTTTTTTTATTAAATGTTTGAACTATCCTTATTTCCCATGGCTTATGGGAGATATAAATATATGTATGTGTGTGTGTGTCTGTGTGTGCACGTGTTTCTCACTCATATAAAACGGTTTAAAGTGTGAGGAACAAGTTTTTTCCTTAAGGAAGAAAAACATAACAAAGGTTCATCACAGTTAGCCATGAGAAGCAGGGGATTTCAGGAGATTGATTTCTCCATAATTTTATTGAGGTCCATTGACCTTACTTTTACCATGTTAAATTGAGACCTATTGACCGCTAAATCAATTTGACAGCAAGATCAGAAAAAATGTGATTTTAACGATCTTCGAAATACAACAATGCCCAAAGATGACTATATATGTAAAGGGCAAGTGATCATTTTTTTTATCTATATCAGGCATGCCAATTGCCAAGGATCTGGGGTACACTCTGAAAGCAAAATATGAGTTGGAGGATGTTGGAAGAAAGAAGTATCGCAGAGAAGAGATCACTGTTGGCTCAGGTCCATGATTTTTTGATTATAGCCAATGAACTTGCATCAAATGCTATTAAATTTGATGAGTGCTTCCATGTAGGTGCAATAGCAGAAAACTTGCTACCCTCTTATAAAGACTACAAAAATACATTGATGCATAAGTCAACAAATTTGAGCCTTGAAAGTTAATGACTTATTTAAGAACTGAAGAGGAGACCAGACTTTGAGATATGAAAGAGTACAAGTCTCAAATGGTCGCTAAAGCTCACGTAGTTGAAGGTCCCAACAAAACCAAGCCAAGGATAGCAAAAAGGAATCGAACCCATGAAAAGAAAGAAGAAAAGAAGAACAAAAATTCAATGTCAAAGACAACTCAAGACGAAGGTAAGAAACCCTTCGTAATGCTATTTTTGCAGAAAGCCAGCAATGTGCAGAAATTCTATTGAATTTGAAAGAAGCAACTTGCACAAGTCAGTGTAGCCAAAGAAAGATTTGTAGCCATCATCTCAAAAGTTAATGTAGTAGAGGGCACTACAGAATGGTGGGTTGACGCAAAAGCCACCAAACATGTCTGTATTAACACGAACATGTTTAGGACTTACGAAATGGTGGGGAAGGACATTGTCCTTTATATGGGCAATTCTTTCTCTAAGTAGTTGGTAAAGGTACATTGAATTGAAATTCATGTTCGGCAAAGTCCTCACCCTTCTGGATGTGAACCATGCCCCCAAAGTCTGGAGAAATCGGGTACCCGCACACCTTTTGAAACAAGGAGTTTTAAACTTGTCTTTGAGTCCGACAAGATCATCTTGTCGAAGAATGGTGGCTTTGCAAGAATGTGTTATACATCTGAAGGCATGTTCAAAGTCAGCGCACATAATGAAGCAAGTACATCTTCTTCTGTGTATATACTTGATTCTCTGTCCTCACAGCACGGTAGGCTAAGTCACGTTAATTATCAATTTATCATGCTCTGAAGAAAATAAGCACTTTAGACCTTATTCCCAAGTGTGAAAATTTGTAAAATACTCTATTTGATGTATTTATACAATAAAAAATACAAGGAAACCCTTTCCTAAAGCAAAAAGAAGTTTCAGGTTATAGAAATTGATACATAGTGATGTTTGTGATATGAGAGAAGTACAGGCCCATGGTGGGAAGAAATACTTTTGTCACTTCCATTGATGGTTCTCAAGATACACCTACATTTATTTAATTAGAAACAAAGACCGAGTATTTGAGAAATCCAAGGTTTTCAAAAGAAACAGAGGTTGTGAATATTGTTCCACTAGCTTCGTTAAATATTGTGAAGAAACTGGAATTATTCACTAAGTTACTACCCCATATACACCCCAACAGAACATTTAGCAGAAAGGAAAATTTGTACACTTGTGACCCCATGCTCATCAGCTCAAACCTCCCTACTAATTCATGGGGAGAGGCTTTAATGTCAGCCTATTACATTTTAAATGGGTTGTGCAGCCTTAATAAGGTTCTTTAACCTTAAGAGACCCAAACATGGACCTATATCTGTTACGTGTGTTTTGTGGGCTATGCTAAACACAACAAAGCATATAGATTTCTGGACCTGAAGTCAAATGTGATTATACAGTCCATGAATGCATAATTTTTTGAACGCACATTTATCGATGACAGTGTTCAGAAAAACAGACCGCCCGACACCTAAGTGGCTGCCTAGGCGGTCCAGAAGGTCTGGACGCATAGCCCAAACCTCGACGGCCAAACTGGGCGGCAGTCCCTGAGCAGCCGCCTAGGTGGGCACCTAGCGCCCAGGGTCTGCACCCTGCCTAGGGGCTGAAATTTTTTTTTTTTTCATTGTATTGATTTTTTTTGAAATATAAACGTTTGAAAGATAGGTTTTAGGTTCATTTCAAACCTAAAGCAACCAAAACCCATTTTAGAGAGAGAGAAACCTCAAGAAAACTAAATTTTATGACTTTCATTGGATTGAAGTGTTTCTCAATGTTACGAAAAATGAATCCAAACATCACCCAGGTAGATTTTATTTAGTTTTGGAGTTTTATAATCCTAGAGGGTGTTCATTATTATTTTAGTACCAGAAAACATCACAAAGGTGGGTGTTTGGAGTTCAAACAATCAAAGTAAGTGCAAAAATTTATTTTTTAGATTGTTTATTTTATTTTGAGATGTCTTCTTCTGGATTAGTCGAAGTAGAGATCCGAGTTGAAAATATGGATACAACCCGAGTCCAAATGACAAAACTTGCATTAGATGCAATTTTTGTGAAAAATATATTAAAGGGGGTATAAACCGGTTTAAAAAACATCTTGACGGTATTAAGGAGGATGTTGCCCCTTGTAAAAATGTTTCTGAAGCTATCAGAGAGGAAATTAAGCAATATATGAGTTCTGTAAAACAAAAACGGGAACAAAATCCTTGTCATTTGAATAGGTCTATTTATGCTACTTCTAAAAGAAGTGATCCGGGTTGGAAGTATGGTTATGACTCAAAGCCAAACGATAAAAATTGTATTACGTGTAATTTTTGTGAAAAAGATACCATGGGCGTATTAACCGATTCAAGAAACATTTTGACGGTATTAAACGAAATGTTGCTTCTTGTAAAAAGGTTCCTGAAGCTATTCGGGATGAGGTGAGACAACTTCTGAATTTAAAAGAACTAGAAAATGATGAAAATGAAACTTGTTCTGTGGAAATATCTTCTCCAGGTTTTTCTAGAAGTAGTGATCCGGGTTGAAAGTATGGTTATAACCCGAATCCGTATGACAAAAATCATATTAAATGTAATTATTGTGGAAAGGATACTAATGGGGGCATTTACCTGTTTAAAAAACATTCTGTCGATATTAAGGGAGATGTTGCCCCGTGTAAAAACGTTCCTGATACTACCAGGGAGGAAATTATACAATATTAGAGTTCAGGAAAACATAAAAAGATAGAAAAGTGTAGAGCAGCCAAGACTCCTAAGGCCTCATCTACACATACTAGATAGAGGAAGGTAAAAGAAGAGGAGGAAGAGGCAAATTCAGAAGAAACAGAGGAGGACAAGCGTTATATTAAAGAGGGAGATGGCTCTGATGATGATGGCCTCGATTCTGATGCATATGATGAAGCTTACCCTATTCCTTTTGATGATGATGATGACTGAAGAGTGTAGACTCTTGGTGTTGAGTGTTGATATTTACTGTTCACTGTTGTGTTGATGCTTGAGTGTTGACTATTGTGTCCTAGATTGTATATTTTCTGAATTTCTGTATATTTTTCTTTTTCTTATTTTTAGTTTCTAATTCTACAATCTAACTTTTGTGTGTACAGTCTACAATGTATCAGACAATCAGTGTACGATTGTATGGTTTTAATGTTTTAGCATTGTATGGAAATATAAATTATGGTCTTATGGATTATCAAAATTCTCTTCTCGACTTCTATCTTTTTTTCTTAAACTGGGATTATGGTCTTATGGATTATCAAAATTCTTATGGATTAATCGTTATCAGTCATCACTCATCAGTTTTTTCATCTGTTTTTTTTTAATCAACCGAGCTGCCCAGGTTTTGACCGCCCGCCTAGGAGCTAGGCAGCCTAGACTCCCTTGGCAGCCTAGGTACCGCCTAGCGCTTTTTGAAACACCGATCGATCAGCAGGATAATAAATATGAAGAATGACACGAAAAACTCAAAATTGATGAGCATGAGAACTCTGACTGAGAACCCAAAAGAAGTAAGAGAATCAGGAAACCAACTGATTATGGTCCTGATATATCTTTTTGAATATCCTAAAAGTTATCAAGAAGCCATGTCCTCACGTTACCCTCCCTTTTAGAGGGAGGCAGCCAACAATGAGATGAAATCTATATTGGAGAATGATTCTTATGGACTAGCAATCATGGCATTGAGCCATTAGGATTTAAATGTATTTTCAAAAACAAAATAAAGGTGAATCATACTTTTGAGAAATATAAAGCAACATTGGTTACGAAAGGACTTAAACAAAACGAAGGTGTTGAATTCTTTGGCACATATGCTGCAGTAACTCAAATAAAGTTTCCATCTGTGTATTCATTGCCTTGGCCTCCATAATGTTCTCTAGAGATTCACTAGATGGATGTCAAAACAGCTTATCTCAATGGTGAACTAGATGATGAAATTTATATTGACTAACCTGAGGGATTTCTCTTAAGGGCCAACAACACAAGGTTTATGAAGTTGCCAAATCATTGTATGGATCATAGTTGTTCGGATCAAGAGAGGGAATGGTATCGGGATCAAGAGAGAGGGCCTGTAAAATGCTAGAAGATCCCTATGGTTGGGAGTGTCGTCCGTACAATGCACATATTACGAATTGAGATCCCCAAATGTTAGGGATCGAGATTCCAACCTTATGAGGATCTTGATCCCGACCTTTTGAGATCTCGATCCCAACTTTTTGAGGATCTTGTTACCAACCTTAAAGTATACGATAATCAAGGATTAATGTAGGGATCTCATTATTTATAGCAAGCAAGCAATGGTTGTGTTGCTAGTTATCTATAAACAAAGAAAATCATCAGTTTGGTTGTTGTCTTAGTCTTTAAGGTTGGGATCGAGATCCCTAACAACAAGAATTGGGATCCCTATTTGTGAGGTACAAGATCCCCAAAATTTAATAATCGAAATCCCTGAGAGATCCATTCCGAGAGTGACAAATCAAGATTCTAGAAGAAATCGTCTACTAAAGTAGGAGATCCTTGTAACTATAGTATGGATTGAAGTAAGCATCCAAACAATGGTATGAAAAATTCAATAGAGCTGTTTTATCACACAGATTTCATATAAGTGATGCTGATATGTGAGTATGCCAGAGTTTTTGCGACAATGCAATAATAATTATTGTATGTATGTAGTCGATATGCTCATACTAGACAGCAATATTGCATGCATTGAGGAGACTAAAAAATAATTATCTTCTGAATTAATATGAAAGACATAGGCTAAGCTTCACCAAGGGAGATCGGTTCTATGTGCCCAAGTATGGCAACTTAAGGAAGGAACTAATGCACGAGTGCCATGACACAAGGTGGGCTGAACATCCAGGCCAACGGCAGACCTTGGCACTCTTAGAGGCAGGGTCTTATTGGCCAAGGATGGATGAGGACGTAGGTGACTATGTCCGGACTTGTCTTGTATGCCAGCAAGACAAGGTTGAGCACAAGAAGCCAAGCGGCATGTTGGAGCCACTACCCATTTTAATTGCCAGCTGATGTAATACTTGGAATTAAAATATATTTTTACCCAGAGCCACTATATAGAGAAAGTGCTCAAACCAATGGTAGAAAAAACACAATGGCAAGCATTTTCAAAAAAGAAGCGAGGATGGAAAACAGAGAAATGCACTTGCTACAGCAATTAGCCAAAATAACATCACAGCTAAAAACCCCCAAAACCCTCTATCAAACAAGCATATCTTACCACCGAAAAGGAAATCCATAAATTATAGAACCTCATGACCAACAAGAACCAAAAGATCAACTGGAAATCACTCTCAATGAACAAAGAAAGAAAACCATGAAAGACAACATCTCATGACCAACAAGAAACACAAAATTAAATGGAAATCACTGCCAAATATGTTATAGAAAAAGCAAGCAACAAAATATCCAGTAAGTAAGCATCTCTCAACAAAACAAAAAATTAAATCAAAATCACCATAGTTTTGCCCCAGAATCCTGAGAGTAAAGAGAGACGAACTCCAAAACCTAACCAACAACTGTAAGCAAATGCGGAGCGTGCATATATAGAAAATGGCTACGTGTAAGATTTCTTAACAACTCAGCACCGCGGCCTTTCGAATTTCAATTTTGAATTTCGTTTTGGAACTCAATCTACCATCTCGTATCTGCCATTGCCATAGGTAAAGTGCGAGTTCCGCTCGGAACCACGCGTCCGTTCTCAAAGGTTCGCATGCGGTTAAAGAGAGAACATAATTATTTTGATGGTCTCACGGCCTATGTGCTTCAACAAAATTACTATTTTCACAGTTCTCTAGGCCATGTGCTTCAACAAAAGTGCTCTTTACATAGTAAATAAAAGTTTTTGTAATTTTTTGGCTTTTTCAACATGATACAATAAAACTGCTTTTTTATAAATTAAGGGAGAGTATAGAATGAGATCGCGTATTTTTGGTACAAGGTGGTTACATTAATCTTGATCATCGGATGTGAAATTGGGTTTATAAATGCGATCAAAAGTAATATTTCTTTAAGGTAGAACATAGAATGAGATCGTGTATTTTTGGTACAAGGTGGTTACATTAATCTTGATCATCAGATGTGAAATTGGGTGGTTACAATTATTCCATTGATCAAGTTCAAGCTTCAAAATAAATTTTTTCAAACTTTTTAACATATCCAAACTATCAAATTTCACATTTGATTGTTGTGAGTAATTATGACAATCTTGTATCAAAAGTAAATTATCTCATTCTATACAATCTTTCTTTAATGCTCCTTGAGGTTTGCATTCTTTCTCTCGCCCCATAATTTATATGTGCCCTCAAATAAAAGTCATTTTATCTTATATATTTGGATGACCTCTTCAATGTACCCGTTAACTTAGAAGAATTCATTCTGCTTTTTTAATATTCATTTTTAATGGTTGTTTTACCTATCTGAGCAAATGTACATTATGTTCTCGCAAGATCATCGCACAACATTTTCCTAATGGTATCAAAGTAACATTTCCTATTATAAATATTAACTTCATTATAATAAGATTTTTTGTACTATTGTTAAGATATATTAATCGTTATATTAAATATAAATATAAAATAACAATAATAATAGTGAGTTATAATTATCCTACCAAATATTTAGGTTTATATTATAATAATATAATT